GACACCTTATTTGAATGCCTTCTGTAAATCCAAATACACAACCTGTATCTGCCCTGCTTATTACCTTTTGAAAGATCTTTAATTAATTAAATTCAATTTTCTTTCATAAAACCATGTTAATTCTGCTTGTCTTAAATATCATTCTGCTACCTCCTTAATGATGGATTATAATCTTTTTCCAGTAACTGATATTAGGTTACTTAGCTTGTCGTTTTCTGCTTCCTGTTTTCTCCTTCCTGGAAAAGCGGCATTACATTTGTAGTATTCCATTCTGCTGGCTTCTTACCAAATCTGTTTCCAATCAATATATCCACCATAACTGCAGCCACTTCTTTTAAAACCAAGAATGCAGGCCTTCAGGTCTGAGGTACTCGTCAACCTGTCATCCCTTTTATTCTTCCTCCGTGCTTTTTCTTTAGCGTTTTAGGTTTCTTCCTAGCTGTCCCTTGATTTTCTACTACCAATGGGATGTTTTTATTGCTTTCTACTGTAAAAGTTCGTACAAAATATTTGTTCAGTCTTTTGCCAATCATGTATTTGTAGGTGTGTTTTTTAAGTTCCATATTTTGGGATGATCTCTGTGCATATATTTGGATGACGAATCATTGATCTGTGTTTGGAAATTGAACTGAACTGTGATTAACTGCATTGTAGGTGGTTAGTATGACTATCAGCTCAATTTAATGCAGAATTTAATTGAAAGTTCACATTTAGGAAAGAATACTGCATTGTTTGTGGCACTGTATGTACCTTAACTGTGCACTTTTATTACTTTCAGCCCCTCTCAGTTGTCAATGGTAAGACCCTTGATAAACCTTTGGTTGTACAGCTTTGTGATGCCTGGGGAAATCCTTCTCCTGAGCCTATGGTTAAAGTTGTCCTACTAAAAGAAAGTGGCCTAAAGGTAGGGAATTTACTCATAGCACTTTGGCTTGAACATTTAGAATATATAACGCCATGATTATGGTGCTCACAAGAAAAAATTGTGATAGATTTCTCCGCAAGCACTGATTTAAATGTTTGTTCCCTATAATGTTGCCTGTTTTACAATGCATACGGATCGTACTAAAGTGTGAGCCCTAATGATATCCAAGAAATGTAGTCCTATTTGTGCTTGCATACCTTTAGTTTCTTGTCTGAACCTAGAGGTTTGCAAAGGACCTTGGTGAATAAATCCTAAAGCAGAGCACCAAAACCTAATAGAAATGTAAATTAGCATACATTAAAGTCCTCTGTAGCCTTGATTTATTTTTCAGCTTGCCTCCTAATATAGGTGAAGCAATATGAAGGAAGTAATATTTGAGATGACACATATAATTAAATTCTTGCAGGATTTTGAGTTGTCTATTCATTCAGTTTAATGTTGAGGATAGAGGGATGGATATTCTTGTTAACTTCACATTAATATCAAACTGGATTCCCAAATTACTGCTACTGCCTGGTGTTATTGAGAAATTACTATAGCTTCAATTAACTAAGCTCAATGATAAACTTTATTTGAAAGCTACAAATCATAAATATATTGAATGTAGCGGTAGAGAAAGAAAATAACCTGAATTTTTTTCGAGAGACAGCACTGTTTCTTAGCTATACTTTCATCATCCTCTTGGATATAATTTAGCAAAGATTGAGCTTCAGTTGTTCTGAGGACACAAAGATTAGTTCTTCAATCTTTTGCAGGTGATAGTCTTATAATTATAATGTGTATTGTCCACAAGCCGTGAGGGTGCATATGTAAATTAGCAGTTACTTGGATTTGAGTGATAAACTTAATTTTCTTCTGTAATGCATAGTTTCCTTTTCCTTTAGTTATCTCCAGCCCCACAATTGCAGAAAACTGATGAAAATGGAAGGGCAAGTTTTGGTGCATTTCAAATCTTTGCAGCAAGGTAGAGCTAAATCAAATCTTTTAACAGCTTGTATGTTTCTTATTGACGTTATTAAGGGAGTGACCCTGTTGCTGCCTTTATAACCATAACTGATCAGGCAAATTCTGAATACTTATTTCCATCCATATTTCCTTATTGTTTTCCAACTCTCTTTTTCCACCCTTGGCAAAAATAAATCCTAAGAATTTGTCTTTAAAATGCATTTCCTGCTCCCTTGACTCATTCTGCTGATTTGCTGACTACTGAGCCTCTGTTCAACCCCCAGTTAGCTGATGTCCTAAGTGTTCATTCTCCTCATACTGCTTCAAGTCCATTGTCCTTTCTTCAAATCACCAAACCTTGTTCTCTCTTACTGCAAGATACTAGCCCATTTCCAAACTCCTTTTTCTCGCATGTCCTTCACAACTTTCCAAATTGGTGCTGATCTTTCCTAGCATTACACATTTGAAACACTCCCGTCAAGTTTCTGGCTCATCTATCGTGCTGGACATGCCAATATCAAAGTCACTAATTACCTTTTATTGTGGTAACCTATCCCTCCTCATCCTCCTTCACCTCATTGCAGCCTTTCTCAGATGATCACACCATTATTTTGCAACACATCATCTCTGTCCAACTAAATGGAGCTGGCCAGCATTGTTCGTTCTGAGAGAAGCACCTGTATGGCTTCCCCTCTTACTCCTGCACTGTAATCTCTGGGGTCTCCCAAGAATCTCCTCTACTCTCCATTGATATCATCTGAAAGTGTGTTAGGTTCCACATGAACTCTATGCACATCTGCTTTATCACTGTTTGTCCAACATCTAAAATGTCCTCAAACTATGTATTGGGAAGATTCGAGCCATTGTGTTTGGACCCTTCCAAAAATGCTGCTCCCTGACTTTAGTTTCCATTTGTGTCAACTTCCTGAGACAGGCTTGATTCATTCACTGCATTCCTGGCTGGCCTCCCATCTACCACCATCCAAAAATTTGGTGTCAAAGATTCTGTTGGTTACATTTTAACTCCGTATCTCAATCGCCCTTCATGTTTATTAAACTGGTCCCCAGTTAAGCACGCACTCAATATTAAAACCATCATTTTGCATAGCATTTCATCGTCCTGGTCCTCCTATCTCAAACTCCTTCAGCTGTGCATATCTTTTGCGATCTCCTTTCATCAAGCCCCTTGCACTGCCCCTGTTGTAATCACTTCACATTTGACAGCTGTGCTTTCAATTACCTTGACCCGAAGCTTTAGAATATTCCTTGTAAACCTTGTCTTCAACCCCTCCACCTTCTTTTAAAATGTCTTTTCAATCAAGCTTTTGTCCACTGTTCTGTTTCCTCCTAGCATAGTTTGATCAACTTTGTTCATGTTAAGCATCTTGAGATATTTGCTCATTTAAATGTGCTGTGTGAATTTGCATGCGTGGTAAATATTTATTTGTGTATAAAAGGCATTGCCGCCTTATAGAAATTCAGTTTGCATAAATGCAACAACGTGGTGTGTATTGACAGGCTTTTTGACTTTAGACGTTGCTGCAGCGAACTCTCATTTAGAATTGATATGTAGACTGTCTTGTGCTGGAAAATTAGTGGCAGCAATGGCTTGTTTTCTCTAATTCTGTTCCTAATTTAATGATCGTTAATGCAGTTGAGTAATTTCATCTATGATTTGGCTGGAGTCAGCTACATTAGCACAAACCTGTATTAAATGTAAAGGTTTCTGATTTATTCGCTATATTATTGCCTCACAGGAAGATTACTGACTGAGGAAAAAAAAATTAAGAGTTCTAGTCGCCCTTTTTCGATGTTTACAGACTGAACATAAACGTGACATATTGCTAGAATTATTTTTTAATAGTTGGAAATTAAGCTGGAGCTATTTGATGCAAGAGCATCTTTCAGAGCAGATTTTGTTAGTTACTGTGCCCTTAGTTACATTGTATTTTGCATTGTTCCAGAAATCTGAAACACCACAATGATGTCAAATGTGACAGTATTCTACAAACATGTATTTACATCTGCTGTCTAAATCAAAAGTGGGTTACAATCTCATCCACATTCAAAGGATTCCCGATCAGTCTTCACCAATTCTAATATGGAATATCTGTTCAGTAAAAGATTTCATTGCATAATGGCCACAAACAAGATACACAGGGTATAAAAAGGTTATTTTATCTAACAATGCTGTTCTTTCTTCCTTATTTGTTACTCACAAAGAATATCTTTGGAGTACTGAATATTTGAGGAGTAAACACTCAACCATTGTATATGTCAGTAAACATTCAACTGTTGTATATGCCTAATTTTTGCAGAGCACAACAATGTAAATATCAATACAGAAACTAATAGAACATAGCATGACCATAGAACTAATACGTTCATATCGTCCAATTTTGTAACAGTATAAAAATGAATTTGTGCAAGAAACAAACAATTTCATAATTAAACATTAGGGGTGCCTTATGATCACTTGTACTTTCTGCATCTCACTAACATAAACTTCAGTTTGTCTAAAGAGCATAACAATAACACCCCTTTTCTTGCTGCTTTGGGATTGTACAAAGCCACAATCCCATAAACCTTTTCCACTTTCGATCACATCTCAAACTGCGTGGCTTCTTAGTCTACATGTGTCACAGACAAATTATTTTTTACTGCTGGGGATTTATAATTGAGCTTGATCTGATTCACACAATGTAAGTACACATTTCAGAATTAATCACTGAAAGGCGTATCTAAGAGTGTACACATATATAGAGATATAGTTTTGTTATGCACATTTGGCCCACCTGTCCAATGTTTATGTCCAAGTTGACCCTTTCCTCACCTTTCTTCATCTAAACCTATCAATAAACCCTCTATTCTCTTATCATTAAAATCTGCCTCTTGTCTCTCCTTCCCAAAACAAGTGAGGAGATCAGCTTTAATGCAGAACCGCTTATTAAGAGCCTTATGAAAGTCTAGGGTCTGGTCAGTTGAGTGCAAAACTTTTTTTAATTAGCAGCCTTTACAATAAAATATTATATAAATTTGAATTACAGTTCACTTGCCCTTGTAAATTAGCACATTGCCTTTGTGTAAGTTTGTATATTTTTTGGAGTGGTTCAGACCTTTTAATAAGGGAATCAAGTTAAATTGGTAGATTTAAATGAGGAACGATGAGGGAGGAGCTCATGTTAAGCAGAAATATTGAACTGTGTGGGTTAAAGGTATTGTTCTTATGCCACTTAACCTATATAACTGTTCAGGATGGAAGTCAAAGATACCTCAAATGATATAACTATTTCATATAGATGCAAATCCCAGTTGTTTGTATTGCCTTCCTGTGACACTTTACTGTTGCATGTGAACTTGCACCTATCAGTGCCAACCTTCTCCCCTCTATTTTCAATGACCTGTTTTACAATACTCTGCCTGTAGTCAGTTTTACCCCGTTGCCTGTCCTAGCTTTTATCACCAAATCAGCTAACATCTCCCATTCTTACTGACTGTACCTGGTCCAAATAAATAAGTGCATTCCTGTACAGAATCCATTTCTGATTAAGATGCAAAGTTTTCAGCAGTGACCAAGAATTACATTTTAACTTGATCAATAGTTTTTTTTTTGGAAAAGCATATTTTGAAAAGTACATTGTGGTTGCTGCTGGTCGCCAATAGGTTTTATTCAAAAACAAGTGATCCTGAAGCATTTCATGCAATATGTAAGGCCCTTCTATTATTTAATTAAGCGTTTTTATTTAAATGCTCTTTTTTAGATTATTAATAGAGCAGTTCCATATTTTGAAGCCTTCTGGGTAGAGGCGAATCATCAAGAATAGAACCACTTTTCAACGCACCCTCTACTTCTGTCATAAAAATACAAGTAAGAGCAGGTCCTTTCACACTAAATCAGTGCGTCATGTCTGATCTTTTACATTAGCTACACTGACCAACACACTCTCCATGCCTATAATCTAGATAGTATTCAAAGAAACCTGTTGATCTGTCTTGACTATGCATGAGTGAGTGAGCATTCACTGTGGGGCAGAAAATTCCAAAGATTCCAGTTTGGTTAACAAGAAATGATGGAACTTTTCTTCGTCTCAGCCCTAAATGGCCGATAACTCATTTTGAAATGTTTGCTTGAGCATTTTTAAATTCCCCAATCAGTGGAATTATCCACAAATATTGGAACAGGAGGAATCTGTACCGTTGGGACAGTCTCCACCTGAATCGAGCTGGGACCAATGTTCAAGCGAAAAGGGTAAATAGGCTGGTCAACAGGGCTTTAAACTAGAAAGTTGGGGGGTGGGAGAGGGAATGGTGAAACTTGCTCCAGTGGGAGCAAGTAGCAGGTTAACATCTGCAGTGGTGGATTCAACTACATGGAAAAATATGAAAGAAATGACAGGGAAGGGGAACTCGGGAGAGGTTATTAAAGTCTCCAGCACAGACACAAATAGGACAGAGTTTGGAAAGGGCTAGCAATCAAACACTGAAAAAATGAATGAAAATGAGAAGCGGGAGGGTTAATACAGGACTGAAGGTGTTATATCTGAATGCACACAGTATAAGGAATAAGGTAAATGAGCTGGTGGCGCAGATTGAAACTGGCAGATATGACGTGGTAGGCATCACGGAGACCTGGCTGCAGGGGGATCAGGATTGGGAAACAAATATCCAAAGATGTACATCCTATCGAAAAGACAGGCAGGTGGGCTGAGGGGGTGGGGTTGCCTCATTAGTGAGAAATGAAATTAAATCAATAGGAAGAAATGAAGTAGGGTCAGATGGTGTAGAATTGAGGAACTGCAAAGGTTTAAAAAAAACCATAGTTGGTGTTGTGTACCGGCCTCCAAACAGTCAGGAGCTGGGACGCAAGATACACCAGGAGATAGAAAAGGTATATAAGAATGGCAAAGTCACAGTGATCATGGGGGATTTCAATACGCAGGTGGACTGGGAAAATCATGTTGGTAGTTTGTGGAATGTCTATAAGATGGCTTTTTGGAGCAGCTCATGGTGGAGCCCACA